ATTTTGTTCATCTGCAGTTCATTTTATTTAAATATTAGTGACACAGTGAACAGCCCTGCATCACAGCTCAGGTTATTTTCCTCTTCGACAGATAAATCTTCCGTCAGACTCTCACCACTGCGCCTGCCAGTTGATGAAGCTGAACGTGGGGTAAAGAAACCAGCCCATCTCAGCCAGCGCCCCCTGTTGGTTGATACCGATGAAGAAGTTTGGAGATGGAGTGTTCTGGAAGGACACAACGACCTTCTGTCCAAACCTACAAAACAAATGAAGCGTTATGAACAAAACAAAAGCACATGATTCAACTTGAAAAGTACAATTAAGTTAAAATCAAATAACCAATAAAATGTCTCGAGAGACTTTCAGTCTGTAGAGATGATAGCTTTCACTCAGGCTTGAGAGAATCTCTACTTTAACCTTTTAAAAAGAACAGTTAATCTATGAAGAGGGGAGTTAAGCATCAACATCTGGGGGGGTTTAATCCCGACAGTGAGCCGCTCTTACCGGAGCGCCTGAGCCACCGAAAGCTCCAGGTGCACCATGGCAGCTGGGATGTTCAGAGGCGAATAACATTCATCCTCAACACAGTTCATGTCCTGGATCGGGTTTCCAGGGAGGGCGTAGACGAGCACACCAGAGGCGTTGGATTTGGCCATGGACTGCACCTGGAAGGAGAAACAGCAACACGGGTCTGATGGTGAAGAATTCATGTTTCAGTGTTTTAAAAACATGAGAGTCGTCGGGGGGGGGTGACATCATTTCACAGTTTAAGTCATTTATTTAAGCAAGAATGTCAAATGTTCGTTGGTTTCAGCTTCTGATCATTTTTACGTCATCGTTAACTTGATATTTTAACATTTTATTGACAAAACAATTGATTTAAAAAAATGTAGATTCATCAATAATGGAAAAAAGATTATTTGTTGCTGCCTAAAAAAAAACCTGAATGTGTAATTTGCAAAATAAAATCTTTTATAAAAACTCTTTGTACATGTAATTGATGATAAAATAATATAAAAATATAGAAGTTTTCAATAAATGAGGAAAAATAAAGAACCATGGTGAACGGTGGTTGCTCGATATTATTTGGCTGAACCTTCACATCACAGACCTTAGTGAAGAAGGAGCAGCCGCCCTCAGACACCCAGGCCACGGCGCCGGCCACAGACGAGGAGGGATCACATCCGTTTCCTGCATCAGTCAGTCGATATGACCTCTGATCCCAATGTCCCATGAGCCAGTCGTACCTGGCATCCAGGCGCTTGATGATTATTGGCATGTTCCATCCTGTGAGGAGGGAAAAAGAATGATTTCACATTTGTGCACAAAGCAGTTATATATATATATATCTGCCCGACCGTCTTTGTCTCAACAAGAGAGTCAGACAACAGGAAGCCACAGACTCGCTTCTGTCCATGTTGAGTTCTTACCCTCGGAGGTGAAGACGGCCTGTGAGAGGCCACAGTTGCGTCCCGTGCAGCTCCAGTAGTAGAGCACTTTAGGGATCCAGTTTCCCAGAGCGAAGACCGGCACCGGAGAAAAGTGAAGTCTGGACAGAACCTCCTTCTTACTGCGGACACGAGCAGGAGAGACACGAGGGGTGAGACGCCAGAGGACAGGATTCTGCTCATGTTTTATGTCCACAATAGTTAGAAAGAAATAAAAAAGTACTGTAGAATTTTATCTTAAATACTTCAGATACTTCCGCTGGTCAATAGAGATGATGTTATTGATGATTATTTTGGAATCAGCTGTAGCCTAATATAGTATTTACAGATTGTAG